TCTGTGAATATCAATGACTTCACAATCCTGGTACCCATTTTTTTGTTTCACTGACTTGAATACTAAAGCTACACCACATGACTCCAACATTTAAAAAAAATGAACAAGAGGGAGTCTTCTCCCACAAGTTTGAGTTAATTGAAGTCACAGAAAAACAACAATAGCAGGTAAATTACCATTGAAATTATGATATGATGTCATGTCAGTTGGGATGCTCATTCGATGTTTCAAATTATCTACTGTCTTTCTTCACTCTGTTGATGTTGACATGGTTATGTTTTAGTGCAAGCATATGCTGCTGATCACTGGTAAAATTTTCCACTAATACCAGCACTTGAACAGGATTTGCTTGATTACTTTGTGAAAAAGTGACCTCAGATTGGCCATCAAGCAGATCATCATTTGTTTCTGTAGGGCAGAGGCAATGCTTCTAGTCCATTGTTTTCTTGTTTGCTCATCATCTCTGTCATAGAGAGTGTTAATAATCTGGAGGTTGTTCTTGGTATGGGAACAGCAACACAATAAAGACCTTCACGACTACCACCTTTCCCAGAAACAAGCACTGCAACAAAGGTGGCTGGTGGCATTGAAAGTCTGCAATTTTTTGCCCTGTAACCAAAGACTTCTTGTCCCTCACATGCTCATTTATTCTCCAAGGACCCCGAAACCTTTTTGTCTCAAGCTACTACTAATATGTACTTTGTTGTCATACTACTACCTCCAAGTGTACAAGAAAACAATTCTTGCAAGTACCTGTACTGCCTCGCCTATGTCTCCTGTTTTCAACACACACCCTATTACCCAGTATTTTCCATCCTTGCCTCATAGTAAACACACACTGGAATGTGTTATAAAAGACTGGTTGGTCTTTGAAATGTACTCAAAGAAGAAAAGACACACACAGTCTACTTTACCACCAGATAATTCTTTGCCCTCTACTACTGCCGTACGAACACAACAGACCATTATAACACAGTTTTTCACCTAACAAGAACCCAACTCGCCTGCCCCCTTAAATGGTTGTGCCTTCACCAATCATTGTCCTTGGGGTGAGGTGCTGCCCCTTTAAGTGACTAGCAGGAGCATTGTTCATCCCGGAAGCTATGCTGGTCCTAGCACACTTTGTACTTCCTCTAGTTGATGAGGACAAATAATATTAAGATTTTTTAGATAACCTGGATGCTTGTGTGTCCACCTGTTGTGTTAGAAAACAAATATGTATTTACCTGTCTTGTTTTGAAAACAAGAACCAGTTCCAGTAGTAGTACTAATTTTGATTTTGATAGATGTTCTGGGCAATCACCTGCTGTCAGTTATCCATTTACAATTGCGAAAGGTAGTGGCTTGTCAGCATGCTGATAGTTTTGGTTTAGCATAGTAAGTGACCACAATGAGGAAAATATGATGCTGAGAAACATGGTAGTAATTTTTTCAATAATACAATCCATGCTGCCTTGCTGTGATGTTTGTAGTAGCATCAGTGGTAGGAGCAATGTTAGTACTATCATTAAGTGGACAAACACCAAGGTTCTCAATATTGTTGTTGATGCTTGGAAGTTGTTGTCATGATAGGAATGCTTTGTCACAAAGTCTGAAAATGACGTCTGGCAAAATGTTGCTACACTTACTACCTAACAAGAATGGACGTATGGATTTCATTACTCATGCTTTCTCTCCTCCCACAAGGAAGAAAGCATCCATATCCTCCACTGCTTATATATACCACCAGTTGACTTTCCTGGCATTTGGAGCCTCCTTGCTGATTGAAATCGTTTTGTGCTCATATATTGCTCTTGTCCTATTAGAGCAAAGCAATGAAGAATTAACTTGATGATCACAATATTTCCCATAAGCAGGCCTTACACCAAGCATGGTTAGCAAAGAAGAGAGTCAGACACTTTTTTCTCTCCACCCAAAACTTGTCAAACTGAAGCAAATCTGTTTCCACCATGAACCTGAAGCTTTCCCATCCAATGTCATCAACACTTCCTTTTTCTCATACTAATATAGAATTAGAGTCTATGAAATAAAATCTTCAGGAGCAGTTGAGACCATACTATTATTTCTACTACCAATACCAATCTGATGGTGGTTTGTTTGTACTTCCCTCCACTACTACCATTGACCACTAAGAATGGTAGTGAACAACCACTGCAGAACTTCACTMAAGATATCCTGGTGTTTGGTACTAGTATTAGTAGTACACACTCCAAAAAGAAACAACAAGTTGAATACTAATTCCACATACATTAATTGTCCATCTGTACTACTATACCAGTTTTGCTCCTCAAGGAGTGCTTTTCCTCACAGCAACTAGTACCAGAAGCAACCTTCTCCCAGCACAAAGGAATAATGGTACTAGCTCCCCTGACACCTCTGCTGGCCCACAATCTGAAATATTTTTCAATTTTTGAAAATGTGTGTAGCATTAACATTATGTAAAGCTCATATGTTTTTTGGCTAGTCTTGTGTTTTTTTCACTTCTGTTTAGATGGTTGTAGTGCGGCTAGTGGTGACTGAACATCCAACAAGTCATAGGAGGAATTGGGTTCTGTCAAATATGGCCAATAATGATACTAATGGCTGAACATGAAACAAGTAGTGCTATTTTGGGGGATTTGGCTCTCTTTCATATCAGAATGGCTGGTGGTCACAAGAACTATGACTGAGAATTCTTCAAGAGGTCTTCTTGGGAAGAATTGGGTTCTCTGTAATGTTGGAATGACCAATTGTGACATTGACTGCTTTTTTTGATTTGTGATAGGAATTTACTTCTCTTTCATTTCAGAATCCATAGTACTGATTACTATAATGACTGATTTTGATTTCACAAGGAACAAGAAGTGTTAAGTAGTTGTGGTACTTTGTTGCACCATGAAGAAGGTATGAAAAGTATGTTCAAAAACATAGAAAATATGATCATTACACCCAACACCAGCCAGTAGGGTTAGAGATCACAACCAAATATGAATCAAATACCAAGTTCTACTAAAACATGTAACTCAAAAGAAGATCCTTTTCATGAGAGTGGCCAAGAAGATACTACAAAAACTGGTACTCCAAAATAACATTGTATGAGACTAGAATTCTCACATTCTATGTACAGCATTAATCTTTGACATACATATAGACTACTACATCATATCTAGTACAGGGAATTAGGTTCTCTTAAATGTTGAAATGACTGATGATACCAATGACTCATTTTTTGAGTCTTGGTAGGATTTTGGCTCTCTTAAATTTTGGAATGACTATTTTTTTATCTTGGAGGGAACCCTGACCTGCTGATATTTCAACTACTATCATCAAGCCCACCTACTCCACCAATAGTACTAGTATGTGTTAACCTGGTTGTGCTCCTCTGGGGGGGCTGCCCTTCTGAGCAAATTGTAGTACTGGAGACATTCTTCTCGTCCCTCAAAGTGATGGCTCAAGCTTTCATAGTGTCTCTTCTAGTAGTTCTTGAGGTTAGATGTAGGAGCATCTACACAAAAAAGAGAAGAATGACGACTCAACAAGAACAACTACTAGTACTACTACTATTATAATTCATTCTTATTGAATGGTATCATTCTTATTTGTACTAAATACTAGAACTAACACTACTAGTGCTATTGTAATTTTTATTATTCATACTAAACCAGCCAGCCCAAATGATACTTCTTGACTTTTTGGCCACACAATAATCCTTTTGCTGGTGATGGTAATGAGAAAGTTCTTGATATACTAGTAAGCTTCCTCCGTCTATTGGTGATCTCTCCTTACATTGAACCTCCTTCTTGTTGTCATAAATGCTAATGAAATTGTCAGGTGGAATCATCTACCCAAGTACAATTTTTTCCATGCCAAAAAAGAAGTACCTCAATTAGATGGAGTTCTCTATCCATCTTGGGATTGTTGTCAATATTGACAACAGTACTACTGCTACTAGTACTAAAAGTAAATCCTGGAACAAAAGCTTCAAGCAAATTTCACATTTCATGTGTGATAAATATTCAAACAGAAGATTATTCATATCCTCTGGTGATGAAATGAACTCAAGTTAACAATTATCTAAGTTTAACACATCCAAATGGGGAATTTGATCCCCAGTAGAGGATAAGCAATTACTAATGTGGCAGGAGGGATTAGCCAGCAGCTCCCAGAAATTGCCCTTACTGATCTCCATTCCGTGCCTAATAAGAAGTAACCCCTTGAAAAAGACACAACAATTTGGTCAAACTGTGTATTTTCTATCTTTGTCAGTAATTTTGAATTTTCCAAACTCAATAAGCAATAAATCAGCGTTTAGTCAAATCACTTAAATTTGACATTGATGTCATACTAGTACTAGTAGTACTACTAGTAGTACCTGTTGGATTTGACCACTGGTGTTCCACTACTAGGAATCACCATTGCAATCCAGTTTTTAGTCACTGCAATCCAGTTTTTAGCCACAGCAACACCATCTAACTTACACATGCATCCAGTAAAAATACTATTTTGAAATTCACACTAGTGACCTCAAACTTAGCAGCAGAAACCACCAGTGGGCTCCACCTGGTGCATATCATGATCACTTTCCTCCTATCATTTTTGAAACCATCCATTTATCAAAACATTGCTCCTCATTCTCTCTTCTTGGTATCTCATCAAGGAGTGCCCTTGTGCAAAATTTCTTATTGCCCACCAGTAGTATGTAGCACCAATAGAAATCTGTAGTGTGCAGCAATAAGAAATCCAATAAGTAAAGATATTTTTATTTTAACTGCATCAATTGTTTTGGCAGTAATTTTAACCTGCGAAAATGAGCCAATTTTTTTGTTGGCGTTCGATTGGAACAAAAATGTCAACAACTTGATAGCATTGCCTTGTCCTTCGGAGTCCTACGCTAGCTACTGTACTAGAAAGGTAACTTACGTACTTACGTACAGTAGAAGGTACGTACCGTACGTTGTAGATCACCTCTGTTGTCGGGTTTTGAATCTAACGCATCAAAACATTCTTTGAGGTGAAAACAGTAAAAAAAGTACGATTGAATCCGAAAGGCGACGGTACCGTGTGTCTTGCCGTAAGAGAATAGGAAGGGTCACAACAAGAAAAGCGAACTGAACCACCAAAGAGAACTTTTAATACAAAAGATAATAAAAAGAATAGCGATGTTTGCACGACTTCTTCTGATTGTCGGGATTCCGATCCTATCGATCACTATTGGAGTAACCCAGAGAGAAAGCATCAACGTGTTTCTCATGGGCTTCTTCCGTGACCTGGGCCGGATCAAGGCGAACCAGCGACGGCACAAGCAAACTTCGAACGCAATGGTTGACCCGGACCAGGCCAAGTACACATCGTGGGATATACTGCTCGGTCGCGACGATCCGCTCGAGGGCATCGATTTTTCTGGGAACGCGGGAAGCCACGACTCACCGGCCGACAGCGACAGCGACAACGGCTCTGCGTCCGATACGACGTTCACGCTGAAAGAGCTCGAGGAGTTCGGAAACGGCCGAAACGGGAACCCGATCTATTTGTCCGTCTTTGGAAGGGTATATGACGTGTCGAAAGGCACAAAATTCTACGGCCCGGATGCGAACTACAACATGTTTGCCGGCAAAGACGTAACGCGTGCATTGTGCTTGGGTCGCAAAGAAGCGGAATTTCTCGTCCGGTCCACGGAAGGTTTGGACGAGAAGCAGATCGAGGAGGGAAAACGATGGCTGTCTTTTTTTGAACTTCACGATACATATCGGTTCGTTGGGTCGCTGGAAACATTAGATTCCGAAGCCTGGTTGGATGCCTTGTTGGACGAGGACGAGGACGAAGACGACGATGATGACGACGATTACGACGACGAGAGGGATGGCGAGGAGGATGACGATAGCATCGAGGGGGACCGCAAGGGAGAAGATGACGACGACGACGACGACGACGACGGTTTTCAACAGAGAATAAAGGCGTGAAATAAATGTTACGAGATTCATAGCAAGTGAAATTGTTTTTACATGACTGTGCTTTCCGTGGAACAAAACGGGGTTTTCAATCTATATGGAATACGTAGTATGAAAAAGATTTTTTGTGATATGAATGACCTACGGCTTTAGGTGACTTTTCAGTAACAATTTGTGAATTAGTCGTAATATTATTATTCAGAGTGCTTGCGCGAACGATGATTGAGTACGAATGATGCTTTGCATCGATCAAACAAAGAGTGTATATAGCACGATGTCTACTTTTGCTTAAAAAAATCATGCCGGAGTCAATCCGTTAATTCTGCAAGAAAAACCGATAGATCCTCCTTCTGCTAACGCCACGAAACCGCAGCAACGTAGTTTCGAGATTAGGATAGTAGATGTTCCGTTTTCCTTCTAAAACTTTAGGCTCCAAAATCAGCGAAAAAATCATCGCTACTTTTCGGTTTCATCTTGACCGGATTTCCGAAACTGGAGGGTGCTTTCACCGGAGTTGCCTTCTTGGCCCCCAGGGAAAGGCCGGTCGGATAAGTCGAGGTCGAAGGAGCCGTTGCGGGAGTCGAAGCCATGCCCCCAAACGAGCTGCCACCAAACGAGTTTCCGGAGGAAGGAGCCGACGACGGACCGGCAGATGACAGGCCACCGCTACCGAATTTGGCAGCCATTCTAGCTTTCGCTTCGTCTCGGAGTCTTGTTTGACGCATGACATATTGCTCATCGCTCTCTCCGGTGAGTCGCTCCATTCCGTTTCTGTCTTCGCCCGGCATGCCCTGGGCCTCCTGGAGTGCTGCGCCACCTCCAAACGCATTGCCGGAAGAAGGAGTCGACATCGGTCTGGCCGATGATGGACCCGCAGAGGACAAGCCGGCACTGCCAAACTTGGCCGCCATTCTCGCCTTCGCTTCGTCACGGAGTCTTGTTTGGCGCAGGACATACTGCTCATCGCTTTCTCCGGTCAGCCGTTCCATTCCGTTTCTATCTTCACCMGGCATGCCTTGGGCTTCCTGCAAACTTCCTCCCATTGGTTTTGGCTGGGACATGCTACCCATGCCACCCATCGAACCCGTGTTGCTACCAAAGTTGTCAAACATGCTCGAGGAGGATGGGTTGAAACTGCTGCTACTGGTATTCGTTGATCCAAATCCACTGTACTTGCTGGTCTTCGGCTTGTTGGCCTGCACATCTCGCTGGAGAGCCGCTAGACCGTCTGCATCTGGTTGGGTCACAGAAGTGGCGACATCACCCACCGTCGTTTTGAGAGAATTCCAGAAGCTTCCGCCCATAGAGGTCGCGGTACTGGCCAAATTACTGACGGCACCTCTCGTCGATTCATCGTTCACGGCCGATGCAGCCGATGATACCAAAGACAATCCCGACGAGAAGACGCCCGATACACTACTGATGACGTTATCCATATCGGGAGCACTCAAACCATAACCTCCTCCACCGTTCGGATTGTAATTGGGGTTGCTACCGATACCTTGCATAGAGCTGCCTACGCCGCCCATGCGTCCCGCGTTGTTGCCGAATTTTGCTCTCATTCGGGCCTGTGCCTCTGCTTTCAATCTCGTTTGTCGCTGGATGTATTGTTGATCAGATTCCCCGGTCAAACGTTCGAGGCCATTGGGATCGTTGCTTCCCATCGGCGCTTTTCCGGCACCGCCCATGCCCGAAGACGCCGAAGTTGGTGCGGCCGCTCGCTTGTTTCTCGGGGGTGGCAGCGTGGTGGGTTCGGGGCGCCCTTCTACGCGTGCTTTCAAGACCTCCTTGTAGAGCTGCGCCGCATCCGATTCGTACTTCGCCTTGACGGGCGTGTCGGGCTGGATCCCCTTGGCCTTCAAGTAATCGTTGCATTTCTTGTTGCCTCCGTTTTTCATTAGTGCCAATTGTTTTTCCGTCCAAGAATCCATGGCAATAGATCTGACAAATGAAATGTGAACACCTAATGAACTGTGGGGCAGAATTTTATACAACGTGTTTTTGGACCGAGAAAAGGATTAGGAGGAATTTGTAAGCGTTAAGGTCCTTGGGGCACGGCGAGCAGGGCAATCTTCTGTTTCGACTGCCAGAATTGCTCACAAAGCTCCATATGACATCATTTAATTCATAACAATAGATCTGTTCCAACTCCGTGAAACCGAACGGAAACGTACCGATGGATACCACTACAATCCAAGCAAAACATATTTCCAAAGCTCACGCTGGCCCACTGTGGGTGTTTCTGACCGCAATCACAGCATACAGTGTTGCCTGGCAGGGCCCTTACAATGGCCTGATCGGCTGGTGTCATTTGCGACATGATGGATTATCTAAAGTCTTTTCTGACTAGTAAACGTGCTCTAGCAGTGAAGGAATAGTTACTATCGCGCGGTATGTATTCGACTCTCTTTTCGTTGTTCTTCTCGAAGGAACTTATTTCAATTCAATCCTCACTAAGCTTCGTTTTTGACTCCAACCCAGTCTCATCAACGGGTTAAACTTGGTGCAAGTATGAATTCGAAACGATCGCGAGGTAGTTTCTACTCTTCCACTATTCGGTGGACGAACTTCTGGTATGATGCACTGTGCAATAGCCGTCCCTATCCGCCATGGCCAGAAGACCGTAATCGTAAACGTAAACGTAGTTTCGGGAGGCAAGCGAGAATTGGTGTATTTTTGTCCAAAAATTATTCTTATTCAGCCGAAAACAGGCATTTTTTAACGGCATTTTTAAAAGTAGAAAATGACCAAAATTAGGTCGATGTAGTCCAGGTCCATTCCACGTGGAAGTAAATCAGTTCCTTCGTTCGGGTTCAATTTTAAATTGACCTCGGAATCCGAATTACTGTACTTCGTTCCTAACGGTACGTACGCTACGTACTCGTATTCATCATACTTCAAATACTTGGACTATCATGTATCCCATGACTACGGTAGTAGTACTCGTACTCGTAGTGCTCTCGAGAGAGATTGGAAGGAAGGGAAGTAGTACGGATTCTAACTACTTTCATGATGCTACAGTGAGGAAATGCTTCCGCCATATATAGACTTCCTTGTGCTTTCCCTTGCCGATCAAACAAAGGCATTTACCCAATTTTCTTCGTAACAAACGACCTGTACGAAAACATAATCGTTTCCAAAAGTTTGGGATCCGTCATCTTTCATGCCGACGATACTAGCACAAAAGAAGAAGTAAAATGAAAGTCAACCCAAAAGTCGGGCAAGCGGTCAAGAAACTCATCGCATGCACGGTGCCGATCTATGTCCTTGGAATTCCCCTCTTGGGCTTCCTTTTCTTGCGTCGTCGTTTTGTTGCTAGTATTGTTTGATCACTGCTATCTCTATCACCGTTCTTCCCAAATGCACTCTCTGGCGCAAACTGTGTATTTTCTCCTTTACTTCTAGCGTTGTTGTTGTCTTCTTCCTGAAAGTATTCATGGAGCATTTTATCGATTTCGCTGTCCCTCCCCTTTCGATACCCACCCATGAATTCGCGGATGCATTCCGTGGCAATTTTCATCGCTTCCGATGCCAGTGCTTTGGCATCGTCCTGGGTGTAGATTCCGGTCGTTTCCTTGGCGTGTTCCAAAAGGTTCTGGGCATCCTTGCGGACGGCGTTCAGGTTCTTGGTTGCGTTGTCGCCAATCTCCCGCAGTTGTTGCTCCGTTTCCTTTGCGAGGTAGTCGCCATCGTCGCCGCCACCCTTTCTGCTGCTGACTTTCGTTGCCACATCGTTCTCGTCGTTCCGTTCGGTGGGGTTTCCCTGGATTCCGTCCTCCCATGTTTTCTTGTACAACTCCCATGCTCGTCGCAATTGCTCCAAGCTCGGTATTCGCTTGTGAAAGTCCCAGAGCGATTGCCGTGGTGATTTCGTAGGTTCTCCGTGGGGATACGGAAACAAAACCCTCCACGGCTTTCCCTTGGGGTACGGCAGCGATAACGATTCGTCGTTTTTCTTGAGGTCTCCACCGGTGACTGGTTCTTCCGATGTCACCAGGGAAGACGAATCGATGGAGGATGTTGGCACGCGGTGTTTGCTGTCGACAGATGTAACAGTATCTGTGGCACTCTTTTGACCATCCCTGGTCGAGAACGAAGGAGCGGCATTTCGTTGACCACTACGCCACGGCCGAGGTCGTTTGCGAGATCGGCCAACGGCCGCGGGTCCCAAAAAATCCTCTCCAATTTGCACTCTGTTTTCGCGATCGTCCTCGGAGGTATCTCCAAACGCCGATGTCCATGCTTTCGCCGACCGATGCTCGGTTGGATCCATCTCTGTCTTTTTCTTTGCAGACGACAGAGTGCGAAGCGGGGGATTGTGATTCCGTAGCCGGAAGGTTGATCCACTCCTAACACCGGCTTGGTCGACGCAATGTTGGCATCCGCGGAGGTGCCTCAGGGAATGCCGCAAGACCATCGCAGTGGTCACTCCTGTTGCGACCGAAGCCATTGCAATATATGTATCAAACCGTTCCTTGTGGAACAGGGACGTCCTTAGGTATTTTTGTAATGGTAATTTTAGTAACAGTAGTACAGTAGCAGATATCTTGCATTACTGTAATTGAAAAGATTTTTGAAACCAAACTGAAACCCTAGATTTTCCCCTTTCCTTCGCATATTTGCACGGCAAAGTACCATACTTGTACGAATACGTACGGTGGCGTCGTGTGTCGACTCATTCACATCCTAGCGTTGAATTCTAACCGTACGGTAAAAACTGAGAAATCATTATCAACTCTGGGGATTTTTTTCGTACCAAAACTCGTACGGTACGTACCTCGTACAACTTTGAACAACTAATAAAAACAGTCGATACATCGAACATAAACAAAAATAGCATTGGGAACAAACCGTACTTGCTAGTGTTCCCGAGCAAGAGTAGAGAATCACATCCAGCCCGCAATCGGCTTGTCTCTAGGGCGAAGCAACGTTAAAGAACCAACGCAGAATCAATTAATCATGGGCAAAAATAAAAGCCGTCGGAGCAATCGAGACGACACCAGCAGAAGCGATGCATCGGTGACATCTTCGGTTGGCGGAGATGATCATCGGGGGAAAAATACCAAATCAAAACGCAGTATAAGGATAAATTTTTTCTTCCACTGGCTTCGTGAAAAACGGCAAGGAATTCTTTGGATTTTGGGTTGCATACTGGTGGGAGGATTGTTTGGCTTTGGATTCGGCACCGGTTGGTTCTTGGGAGAATATGGCAAGAATCCTAGTGGATGGAGAATAGTTTTGGGGGGAAAGATTCGATCCAATTCTATTTACAAACGCACTATCGCACGCCTCCCAACTATTGGCATTTCGGAGAACGAAACGATTAGGTCTGTCGTGGGCGTCACGGGCAGCATCCTAGGAATAATCCCTATTTTTTCTGCAACCCACGACAAGTCTAGAAATCTCGACCCATTTTCTTTCGGTGCTCCTCCGGTAGTGGTTCGAAGGGTCTCTTCTAATGAATTGAAAAGCAACCCATCGCATCCCTATGTGTACACGGTATTGCGGGAAGCCATCGCCCGAGAAAAGGGCGGATACGTGCATCCGGATCTAGGGATCATGGAGCCAGCACCGTGCGGTGCCGCGCGGGGAATCGGCATGGTCCGGAACCTCTACCACAGGTGCCAAACGAAATGCCTTCCTGGGATCGCCGAAGAAAAATTAGAAGCGAAACGAAAGCTGCTGCAGGAAGAATCAGAACAGTCTACAGAGGAAGGAGAGGAAAGCGAGCGCCATTACAGGCAGGAAGAAGTATTGATTCGGGTACCCCTTTCCTACCAAATGACTCGAAAAGTAGCTCTAGATACGCTCATTCCCCGTATCACATCCGAGCCAATACATAAGACACTGCACGAATTGGACGATGCTACTTTGTTGACATTATTGTTGGCACACGAACGAGGTGTCGGTCAGTTTTCTCGATGGTTGCCCTATATCGCCAGCCTTCCACAGGAACCCAGCTGTGGCTATTCCCAAGGTCACCGGCCCCACCAATTGGATTCGATAAATGCGCTCCGCGACAACCTCGGCTTAGAGGTCGATGGGTGGCCCGGTGAATTGCTACGGGCGTCCGAATACTCAGAACGGATTGTTGCTCAACTGGCAAACGACTATGGGATATTTGTAAAACACCCGAAGGACAAATCGCCGAAGGCCAACCTCAGGTGGGCACTCTGCCAGGTTGCCAGCCGTGCCATCGGAGGTTCCCAAAAATACGGAGCCCTGCGCATGGTGCCCCTCATGGATATGCTGAATCACGATTTCCACGCCGGTGGCTTTGTAGAACTCACAGGAAAAGAGCGTCTCGAAAACGGAGACTTTATCGACGCCACCAACCAAGAAACCGACGCGGGTGCATTTGTGATTCGGAGCCTGCGTCACGGCCGCCGAAAGGCACTGCGGGTGGGCCAAGAATTGATGGTCAATTACAATGTACCCCACTATTCGGCGTTGGACTGGATGGTGTCTTCCGGCTTCGTTCCACCGGAACGGTACCAGAACTGGCAGAAGCTCGATGCCCCCCTCCCCAGGATTCGGCGAGATGGACCGTTTGCAGGCATCCACGACAAAGGGAAAGAAAAAAAACGACGGCAAGAGTCGACTTTCTTTGCCGGATTTACCAGTAACAAAGCATAGAATAAGTTTCCAGATACTAGAACGACCATCCCATAAGTCATTTCATTCTATTCTATTGTCAGCAGTTAAAAACATGAGAATGTGTGAAAAATAAGCTGTGGACACACAAGTGGGTCTCAAAATGATGCTAAAAATGCAAAACGAATGATCACTCGTGCGTACCGCATTCGGTTTGCTTTGTCTGGGAATCGAACCCAGGACATCTGCTTGGAAGGCAGATATTTTACCACTAAACTAACAAAGCGAATTCTTCGCTTTTGAATGTTGAAGGGCGTTAAACGTGCAATTATAAAGTCATATACTCTCTCTTTCTTCCATCTGCTTTTCTTTTTTTGTTCCCTCAATCTTTTAATGCTGCTCCTTTCTAGTAAAGCAAACTCACACCAAAAAGATAGCCAGAAACCCAGACAGGGGAAGTTAAGGGGGGGATTTTTCATCTCCTGGGTACTACTTCTGGACCCAGAATAGGTTTCTAGGCTACCCCAATCTGCCAGTACTACTAGGAGGAGGCTTCAGCAGAGTTTTTGGGAATGGTTGATTCCCAGTATTATAGATGTGCTACTTTTGATAGACTGACAGACAGAAAATTTAGCAAATCTAGTATAAAAAATTTAATACTTTTGAAAGCAACCAAACTGGTGCTATCAAATATAATAAATTCATGATGGAACTCACAAAACAAAATTTCAAGTCCGTTTTTAAGACTGAACTTGACAAAATCAAGACTCAGCTGTCCTAAACAAGAACAAAGAGAGGCACATATATCAAGAATGGCACCCACACACCTCTAACTATGGTGCCACATTAAGTATGTCTCAATGAGTGCTCTTAGTCAGCAGTACTGTACATTCTATTTCCTTTCTTTGTTGCAGAAAAGAGAGCAACAATACGAGGGGAGGAGGTCCTTGGTGCTGACTACAAAAAGATTGACTATAAAGAGGCAATCGATTGCTCCCCTCATTCCCCACACTATTTTTTAGTAAAGAAGTTGACAAGAGCTGGCAACACCACTGGTGGCCAGAAGGCTGGTGTTGCAAATTACTCTCATGATGAGCTAGACAGTCTCAGGAGAATGATACTTGAGTATGTGAGGATTGCGCGCCAGGCCCATATCTTGATTGGTCAAAAGTAAACTCTCGGTACTGGAGAGGAGGACTTTGATAAGAAGAAAGGCTTCATTGAGAGTGAGGCTGTGGATGTTTCTGGGTCCAAAACTGGAGCGTCATTGACTGCCAGAGGAGCATCGACTGGTGTTCTGGCTGGAATTCTTGCTGAAGTACTAGCTTCCAAAGGAGTATCAATTGTTCTTACTGGAGTAGCATCATATGCTGAAGCATTGCTTGTTGCTGGTGGAGCATCTTCTGTCTTGATACCTTCACTTGTACAATCAACTCCTACCCCCAGAAAGAGGAGATCCTATCAGCAAAAGAAATCCAAATCTGGTGTCCCAAATGCTGCTGCCTTCAAAGAGAAAAAGAGAATTGTGAGATAGCTAGAGAGGCTAATCAAATTGCTAAAAAGACTAACMAGATGTGGAAGGACGCTCTTGGAATGGCAATGAACATGTTCCAGCAGTGGCAACAGCAATGTAACTAGTATGGTCCTCCCTCCACAGAATGCTTCTTCCACACCTACTATGCCCCTTGATTGCCGTGTCAATTGATTGCAGTATCACCATAGCAATTGCAATGTGTATGTAGCAATTTGATTGCAATTCTAACTACTGCCTTCTTTTCAACTACCCAAATTAATTAATCTCTCTTCTTTTCAACTAACCGCAGCATCCAGTTGACCATGGGATTCATCATGAAAACACCCCATTACCATCTGGAGATATTCCCTGACCCACTTGGAGGAAATAGGGAACCTCAATGGTAATGGCTGCAGGGGTCTTCATGAAGGTTGATAGGATTTGGTTGTGTCCTATGGTGCTACACTTGAAGTTGTACAAATTGATGAGGAGGTTCATGACGATCTTCCTATCTCAAAGCTCTTCCAAGAACATTCTTTCTTTGATCATTGGGAACTGTCCCTGGATCATCCTCATCCCCCATTCCAATATCTGTCATCTTAAGGATGTGGTGTCCCTGTTTAACAATACTAGGAGGTTGTCTCTGTCATGATCCCTCTGTGAGCTCTTGATGAGGCTATGCATGTAAGGTTTCAATGCAAATGCTGAGTCCACAACAACCTTTGCACCATTGCACATGCCATGGACCTCCTCAATCCTTTGATAGACACCATGGTCAGCAATGTCACTGTCATGCCAGGCCCCAGGGCAGTTGTATACTACTATCCTGATTCTACCATCTAGGGCAAAGGCAAACACACTATTAACAAAGGTGTTCTCCTTCCAGGCATTGCAGAATGCTCTTTGTTTATACCAGTCCTGTGACTGTTCAATGGCAATATTGAGTCCATCAGCAGCACCCCACCAAACGTATTGTTCTGCAAGTCTTGGATACTTGTCTCCAATAGCCTTAACATAAGCATCCACTTCATGCTCAGTTGGAACACTGACCATAGCATCTGGGTGTCTGTGAAGAGCAACAAGCATAACTCTCCTTGAAAACTTGAACCACTTGTACATCACTGTGGATGTCAAGCTGAAGGCCATTGTCATTGCTCTTGCAACAGATCCTCTTGTCCTGTACCAATAGAGGACCATCCCAATAGCATAGACTGCATTGACCTCCCTCTTCTTCCCTTTTGGCTTGCCACTGGGATAACAAGGAACTTCCATGATCTCATTGTTGTTGTTGACAGTAAACTTGTTGTATACTGGAGCTAGATTGACTAGATTTGATAGACAGACGGACAAAAAAATTAGGTCTAGATTGACCAAATTAAGTCATTTTTGATCCAACCCCTGACCCCCATTCAAAGCTGACTAGATTTAGACTGGAATCCACAAATAAAAATTTGAGTCAGTTGAAAGATTTGGCAGACAATTTCTTAAAACCAAAGTCACACTTGGATATTGGACTTGGTGGACACAGTACTGGATACTGCACTTAGCTTTGGTTCCTTGGATACAGTGCGTTGATGTGGAATAGATGTTGCTCTTGGAGGAATGTAATAATTCTTGGAAATGAGATTGATGGTTGATACATGCCCCCTATGACAGATTTGAACACCAAGGGGAAGCCATCAACCACCTGGTGATACAAAATTTATAAAATATTGTTTTTGAAGAATAATGCTAAAAAAGATTGAACCCTTGTTCTTGAAGAATAATGCTCAAATCATAGAATGAACCATACAAAGCTCAAAGGAAGTTCCACAATCCTGTATCATATCATCACACAGATTGATGCTTGATAGGTTCTTTAAAGAAACATAATGCTCAACAAAAAGAGGGAACTGTTCTTGAAAAATAACACTAAAGAAGATTGAACTGTTCTTGACAAATAATACTTGAAAAGACCGAACCATAGATGAAGCCTACCTTCCTTGCCGTCTGTCTGTTGAAATTCCGATTCATGTTATTACTACAGAATTGCTAAATGTGCTAAATGTGGCCGTTTAGCACATCTATTAATGGGAATCACCCAATGACCCATTTCCTGTACCTACTACTAAGGCTACTAAGTGCAATTCCAGTGCTGGCAAGTTAAAGGCAATTCCGAACCTCCATGGCCGGCTGGCTTGCCTGCCATGCGCATGTACCCCCTATACATTAAAGTGCCATAGTACAAATCCTATATACTTTATGTACATGTTGTTTTACAGCAAATTCAGTGCTGAAATACCTCCATCCAATGCCACACCTCTTGCAACCGCCAAAATACGAGCAAACACATCAAAACACATTAAAACGCCTCATCTGCAAGCAAAACAACAAACAACACCTCTGCAAGCATTCATTCATACTCAAGCCATTTGAGTTTGAATTTGCAGATACTCAAGCGAAACTACTGTTAACAGTCTCATACTCAAGCAAACAGTCATTGTCTTTGCGGATACTCAACAAGGAGCTGGCATGCAGACGCTTTGGATACTCAAGGGACCAGCGTGCAGACGATTTGTGTTCTTTGCAGACACTCAAGCAAGTCTGAAGAAGGGTGTAGTGCCAAGCCAGTATGTCTACTGACCAGCCAGTGATGGCAGGAGGAGAACATATTCATCATGGACATGATGATCTTCATCATGGAAGTGGGGTACTATGTCACCATAAGGAGGGCAACATTTGTGGGTACTCAAAGGATTGCCATTTCTTCAAGTCAATCAGTGTTATCAATGAGGAATGACAGGATGATTTTGTACAAATTCAAGACAAGTTAAACAGCAGTTCTTCCAAATAAGCAACAATCACCAATTTATGAGACACTGATATGGAGTACGCTGATGCAGAGTGCATGGTGATTCGCTGGTACCGAGAAGAAGCTGCTGATATGGAGAGGAGGTACACTGGTGATATGAGTCACTGATACAGTGGAGTACACTGATATGAGTTGCTGATAAAGAGGAGTAGTACTACATTGATACAAAAAGCTGATATGGAGGAGTACACTGATTCAGATTATGCAAAGGAGTATGCTGATATGATACAGAGGAGTACGCTGATAGTACAAGTTGAGGATGATACCAGTTGCTGATATGAGTCGCTGATACAGAGTACACTGGTACAGAGTGCACTGATACAGAGGAGTACACTGATATAGATCTTGCTGATTCTACAGATTACAGAGGACGCTGCTGGTATACTATAGTTTGCTGATACAGAGGACACTGATAAAGATTATGCTGATGCAGAGGAAGCTGCTGATACTGCCTGCTGCTGGTACTAGTACAGATTATAGAGGACGTTGCTGATATGGAGTATGTTGTTATGGAGTATGCTGATACTACAGATTACAGAGTATGCTGATATGGAGGACACTGATATGGAGGAGAACAGCTTTAAAATTACTATGGAATTTGAAATCTGAAAAAATCACCAGGAGGCAAAGCAATGGGTGAAATGGGTTCTGTTGCTGAATAAATCCTGGTGCGGCCCTCCTCAGCCATTCTCTGCACCAGAATTGATTGACAATTTTTAAACGGTCTTTATTGAATTGGCAGTTACAGTTTTACCTGAAAAAATAAGCTAAAACTTTTACAAGCATTTGTAAGGGAATTGCCTTCAACTTGCCAGCACTGGAATTGTACTTAAACTCTTAGTACGTACAGAAGTTGGAAGGCAAATGAGGTGGTGACAGGTCCGGAGTCAGTACAAATTGTACACGGCTCTACGGAGAGAACAATACACCTCATTTGCCTTCGCAACATGAACCTGTCTCACTTTGAAAAAAAACATKAAGTATTTTTGTATCGAAATATTTAGTAGTACTAATTTGTACGTAGGTTTCTACACACCTTGTTATACTGAGGGCTCTTAAGAAAAAACCACTTGGCCGATCATTCT